GGAACCATGAGATTATGACCTGAGCCAAAGTCAGACGCTCAATTGACTGAGTCACCCAGGTGCCCCTATTCCTCAGCAGACTTTTATTTATTTTTTTTTTATTTAAAAAAAAATTTTTTTTTTCAACGTTTATTTATTTTTGGGACAGAGAGAGACATAGCATGAACGGGGGAGGGGCAGAGAGAGAGGGAGACACAGAATCGGAAACAGGCTCCAGGCTCTGAGCCATCAGCCCAGAGCCCAACGCGGGGCTCGAATTCACGGACCACGAGATCGTGACCTGGCTGAAGTCGGACGCTTAACCGACTGCGCCACCCAGGCGCCCCTCAGCAGACTTTTAAACGTCTTAAACATGTGAGTTAAACAGCATTAAACCAGATACAGTGGTTTTAATACAAATAATACAGAGACCAATTCAAAGAACTTGGGGTGGTTGATAATTTCACTAAATAGATTTTTTAAATGATCTGTTGCTCTGATTTTAAAACCTCCTTGGATTAGGCATAGAATTCTTAGATATAAAGCCAAAACACATGATCAATAAATTGCATTTTATATACAGCAAAACCTTTTGTACTTCAGAAGAAACTATGAAGAAACTTTTGACGAGAAAAGCCACAGACTGGGAGAAAATACTTATATGTCATATAAATTATGTCATGTCATACATATCATACATTGTATTTGTAGACTTTGTAGAAAATAAGGGGAAGTCCTGCTAAAGGATTTGTATTCAGAATATATAAAGAGTTCTTACAACTCAACAATAAGAGTACATACAGCCCAATTAAAAGTAAAGCATTTGAGCATGTATTTTACCAAAGAAGATCTATGAATGACTAGCAAGCACATTTATAAAATCCTTAACATCATAGCTCATTAGGAAAATGCAAGTGAAATCATAATGAAATACTTCACACATTCGAAGGGCTATGACATAAAAGACAGACCGGAAAACCCCCATTAATTTACCAAACAACCTAGCAATTCTACTCCTACACATGTAACTAAGAGAAATGAAACCTTATATCCATGGAAAGACTTTTGTATGAAGGTCTGCAGAAGCATCTTCATAGAAGCATTATATGTAATAGTCAAAAGGTTGAAACCATGCAAATGTTCATAAACTTATGAATGGAGAGACAAAATGTGATGTAGCTCCACAATGGGATACTTTTCAGCAATAAAAGGAGATAAGCTACTGGTAAACATTATAACATTCATAAACCTAAAAAACATTAATGTGAGTCAAAAAAGCCTGGCACAAAAGATCCTAATTTATATGATTCTTTAAAAAAAAATTTTTTTTTAACATTTATTTATTATTGAGAGACAGAGAGACACAGAGCATGAGCATGGGAGGGGCAGAGAGAGGAGGAGACGCAGAATGTGAAGCGGGTTCCAGGCTCCGAGCTGTCCGCACAGAGCCCGACGCGGGGCTTGAACTCACAAACTGCGAGATCGTGACCTGAGCCAAAGTCAGACGCCCAGCCGACTGAGCCACCCAGGCGCCCCTGTATGATTCTTTTTATATATAATTTTTAGAAAAGGCAGATCTACGGAGCCGGAATATAGATTAGTGGTTGCCTGGGGGAGGTGGGTTCGGAGTGAGGAATGAGTGCAAACAGGCATGAGGAACTTGGTGAGATGAGATATTCTAAAACTGGATTGTAGTGATGGTCATACAACTTTGCAGGTTTATTAAAACAGTAATAAATTAACCTTTTCGAGGTACATTTCTGACCTGACAGCTTCTAATTCTATCTTTCTAAATGTTTTTTTTTTTTTTTCCAACGTTTATTTATTTTTGGGACAGAGAGAGACAGAGCATGAACGGGGGAGGGGCAGAGAGAGAGGGAGACACAGAATCGGAAACAGGCTCCAGGCTTTGAGCCATCAGCCCAGAGCCTGACGCGGGGCTCGAACTCACAGACCGTGAGATCGTGACCTGGCTGAAGTCGGACGCTTAAACGACTGAGCCACCCAGGCGCCCCTAATTCTATCTTTCTGAGCATAATCCTCAGTAACCTGTCTGTTGTCCATCCACCTAAGTGTGAGTCCCTCAGTGTGGCATTCAAGGCCTTCACTTAATGTATAGTCAAGTTCTCCATTCATTGTAATCAGAAGATTTCTCAGTGGGTGTGCCCTCAAAGATCAAATTGTCAGAGTTTAAGATAGATCCTAATATTATTGTCACCTTGAGTTCCCTCAGAGCTGGGTCTGGCATCCTCCTGATGGTTTCATAGCTTTCTACGTATCTCATTGGACACAGGACACTGAATTGTAATTAACGATTGCTGTAGTCCTCACTGACCAGTAAGCTTATCCCCAGAATTTAGGACAGGGCCTACCACTAGTGATGTTCAGGAGATATTTATTGAATAGTTAAATGAATGAAGGAATAATGACAAAAAACTTCCTGTCCTATGGACACTGATTGAATACGTGTAACCCATGTTTGTTCTCTGAGTGTGTTTTCTATTCTTCTATTAATGATCAGTCTCATTTTTTAAAATTGTTTTTAAGTTTATTTATTTTTGAGAGACAGACAGAGAGAGTGAGTGGGGGAGGGACAGAGAGAGACAGAGAGACAGAATCCCAAGCAGGCTCCATACTGTCAGCACAGAGCCCGATGTGTGGCTTGAACTCACAAACCATGAGATCATGACCTGAGCCGAAACCAAGAGTCAGACGCTTAACTGACTGAGCCGCCCAGGTGCCCCATGCTCGATCTCATTTTAATTGGCACATTCTCTAGGTAATTTTTATAGCTTCAGTCAGTTCTTGATCTGTCCATACTTATGCAGGTTAACACTTGAAGGGTAATTTCACAGGATCATCTGAATTTTACCACGTTTAACCTAAAATTTAAGTTGATGACAGTTGTTGTGTAAATATACATAGCTGTACCTATCTATGCCATCTATCTATCTCCAGATTTTCATTTTTAAGATGTTGTGGAGGATAAGTGTAAATGAATTGTAGATATTTGCCACATCCCTTCTGGAACTGACTAGAACCTAGGAATTCTGTAATCCAAAAAGGATTAGCCATTGTCTCTTATTCTGTTGGGATAGGAGAAACCACTCATTGTCATGGCTACTAAAGGCACATTGTTCCATATAAACCTGGGGGACTTTAAAGGTTGAGTTCTACATGTGAATGGTAAGGATATTTCTCAGGAAAAGCAATGAAAGGTCATTCAGGGGAGGAAAAGATAGAGTATCTTAAAAAAAAAAAATGGATAAACCCTTCCTGGCAAACAGGGACCCCTGATAGACATTTGCAAACAAGATTTTTTTTCTAGATAGAAAGTTCAGTAAAGGATTAAAAACATATGGGCATTTGTGTCTACTAAAGGTTGCGTTTCAAACCAGTGGTAAAAGGTGAATTATTTGGTAAATATTTTATGAAGAATTAGGTATCCATCTGGAAAAAAAAATAAAGTTAAGCTGTGCCTGAAGCTAATAGACCCCCCTGACCATCACCCCCACACAGGAAAGCATGGACATTTTTCTTCAAATGACTTTACAAATGGGGTATCTCTAAGTGCCACATAAAATTCAGAAGCTATAAGAAAAGATGGTAAGTTTCAGTTATATAAAAACATATTTGAGATTCTGCATATAAATAGCACTAAATAAAGGAAAAGGACAGACTAGAGAAAAACATTTGCAGCTCCTATCTCAGACATAGGAAGAGCTTCTAAAATGCAATAAAAAACCCAAATCTAATGGAAAAGTGAACAAATAATATTTTCAAAGAAAAAAAGTACAGGTACTCTTAAGAATATGAAAAAAGCACTCAGATACACTTAGAATATGAAAAATACAGGAGCGCCTGGCTGGCTCTGCTGGTAGAGCATATGACTGTTGGTCTTGGGGTTGGAAGTTTGAGCACCATGTTGGGTGTAGAGGTTACTTAAAAGTATAATCTTAAAAAAGCAAATCAAAATGATAATGAGATACCCTTTTAACCGACTAATTGGCAAAGCGTAAGCAGTTTGGTAACTGTGTATGGGAAACAGGCGATGTTGTAGACTGCTGGTGGGAATGTAAGTTATTAGCAACTCTATAGACATTTGATAATATTTATGAATCCTTATTTTATCTGATTTATTTTGAGAGCTAGAGAGAGAACCAGTGGAGGAGGGGGAGAGAGAGAGGGGGACAGAGGATCTAAAGCAGGCTCTGCACTGACAGTAGAGAGCCTTATGTGGGGCTCAAACCCACGAGCTGTGAGATCATGACCTGAGCCGCAGTTGGATGCTCAACTGACTGAGCCACCCAGGAGTCCTATAAATCTTTAAAATGTATATACCCTGTGACTCAGTAATCCCATGTCTAGGAATTTTTAACCTACAGATGAAGGATACAGTACATGTACTAAATGTATGAGGTTGTTCATTGTGGCATTGTTTGTAATAACAAAAGACTAGGTATGAACAGAGAACTGGGTAAAAACATTCTGATACGTCCAACTAATGGAGAACTTCAAAGTTGTTGAAAAATAAGCCAGCTTTATATGAAAGAACCATATATCAAAGTTGTGGTGCAAAGTCAAGATAGAAAATTGCAGAGAACTATACTCATTGTGTAAAAGGGAACAAAGAAACAATACACATACACACACACACACACACACACACACACACACACACACACCCACCCACCCATACATGTGTGTTAGAGACTGCACAGACTAGAGCAGGATATTCAAGAATTGGAAGCAATCAGTGCCTTTAGGGAAAGAAACAGGACCACAGGGAGGGGTTTGGAGAAAGACATACTATTCGCTTGTTTTTTTGTGATGTTTCAATTTTCAGTGTCTTACTCATTACTCAAAACTAAATACTTTATAAGCGTTTTTCCTTTGCATCAACAATTTCTTCTCTGCTTTCAAGGTTGACTGTCCTACCTTATTCCCATCCGCTATTGTGTTGGGTTATTCCAGACATAGAAAGGGAGTTCTTACAGCTCATCTCTGGTTTTGTTTTCCAGGACTTTGTTGGCATTAGGATGTCATGTGGGAATAGCAGATGAACATGCTGAAGAAAAGGTGAAAAAAATGAAGCTGCCCAAGAAGTAAGTTGAACGTCTAAACAATATTAGTCTATGCATCAATTTAGTGCACCCAAATAACTCTTTTTTTAATTGTATTTAAATCCAAGTTAGTTATCAAATAGTGTAGTAACAGTTTCAGGAGTAGAATTTAGTGATTCATCACTTACATATAACACCCAGTGCTCATCTCAACAAGTGCCTGCCTAATGCCCATCCCCCATTTAGCCCATCCCCCTACCCAGCAGCCCTCAGTTTATTCTCTGTATTTAAGAATCTCTTATGTTTTATCCCCCTTCCTGTTTTTATATTATTTTTGCTTCCCTTCCCCTATGTTCATCTGTTTGACTTCTTAAATTCCACATGAGTAAAATCATGTATCTGTCTTTCTCTGACTTACTTCGCTTAGCATAATAGCCTCTAGTTCCTTTCATGTTATTGCAAATAGCAAGATTTCATTTTTTTAAATCACTGAGTAATATTCCATTGTATACATACCATATATACACATTGTTTTGTTTTTTTTTATAAATTTTTTTTCAACGTTTTTTTATTTATTTTTGGGACAGAGAGAGACAGAGCATGAACGGGGGAGGGGCAGAGAGAGAGGGAGACACAGGATCCGAAACAGGCTCCAGGCTCCGAGCCATCAGCCCAGAGCCCAACGCGGGGCTCGAACTCACGGACCGCGAGATCGTGACCTGGCTGAAGTCGGACGCTTAACCGACTGCGCCACCCAGGCGCCCCTATACACATTGTTTTTAACCATTCACCAGATGATGGACATATGAGCTCTTTCCATAATTTAGCTATGGTTGATAGCTGTAAACATTGGGGTGATGTGCCCCTTTGATTTAGCATTTAAAAAATTTTTTCTTTAATGTTTATTTGCTTTTGAGAGAGAGAGAGAGAGAGAGAGAGAGAGAGAGAGAGAGAGAGAGCAAGCGGGGGAGGGAGGGGCAGAGAGAGAGACACAGAATCCGAAGCAGGTTCCAGGCCCTGAGCTGTCAGCACAGAGCCCAACACGAGGCTCGAGCCCATGAACTGTGAGATCATGACCTGAGCTGAAGTCAGATGCCTAATCGACTGAGCCACCCAGGCGCCCCTTGAATCAGCATTTTTGTATCCTCTGGATAAATACCGAGCAGTGCAATTTCTGGGTAGTAGGGTAGCTCTATTTTTAATTTTTTGAGGAACCTCCATGCTGTTTTCCAGAGTGGCTGCACCAGTTTATATTCCCACCAGCAGTGCAAAAGTGTTCCCCTTTCAACTCAGCCTCACCCACATCTCTTGTTTCCTGAGTTGTTAAGTTTAGCTGTTCTGACAGCATCCAGATAACTCCTGATGGATACCTGGGTGACTTCCTCAGTAAGGAAACAAAGCTCAGGAAATATTTGGGAGTATGTTATAAAAAGTATGTTATTTTCTCTGTGTGTAGGTGTGCGTGTATTCACCTGTGCCTATATTCCTAACTGCTTATCTGTGGTTTTCTACTTTCTACAAAAAATTTTCGTATAATTTAACTTGGTTTTTACTAAAAGAATATATATTTTTTAAAATGTTTTTTAAGGTTTATTCATTTTTAAGAGACAGAGAGAAAGAGTGGGAGTGGAGGTGGGGCAGAAAGAGAGGGAGACACGGAATCTGAAACAGGCTCCAGGCTCTGAGCTGTCCGCACAGAGCCCGATACGGTGCTCGAACTCATGGACCGGTGAGATCATGACCTGAGCCGAAGTTGGACCCTTAACTGACTGTAACACCCAGGTGCCCCACTAAAAGAATACATTTTAGGAATAGTTATAAAGTTGGCATTATTATCAACATTTTACGATCAGAATCTGAGACTGAATGCTATAGGGGTGATTTTACCTGCTGGGCTACAGCCTCTATTCCGTGATCCTGTTTAACTTCTCAAAACCTCACCTTTCTCAGCTGCTAACAGATGATAACTTCTTCATAAGGATATTTGGGTATTAAGTGAGAAGTGTTAAAGAAATGATTGCTATATCCTGTTATTGTTTTTGCTTTATTTCAGTTTCCAGGAGGTACACACATTGTAGATAGGAGGTCTGGAAATGTGTTCAGTAATATCATGAAGATTAAAGCAAAGCAGCCACCCCGTAATCTCCATCAGTCACCTTGGCTTTGTGTTACCCCAGATAAAGACAAAACCTAAATAGAAATAGTGTGGGAAGCCTGAGTGATTCAGTGGGTTAAGCATCTGACTCTTGATTTCTGCTCAGGTCGTGATCCCAGGGTGGTGGGATGGAGCCCATGTTGTGCTCCACTCTGAGCTTGGAGCCTGCTTAAGGTGCTGTCTCTCTGCTTTTGCCCCTTTCCCCTGCTTGCACGCTCTCTTCCTTAAAGAAACAAACAAACAAGCAAACAAATAAATAAATAATTTTTTTAAACGGGGGATAAAAAGAAGGAACATCAGGCAAGTCATGTTGCTGATGTCACGCTTGTACCCGGCATTTTAGAAACTAGGAGCATTGTAATAAACAAAGCCCCAGCCCTTATTGAGTGTACATCTACAGAAGTCTGTTCCTCTTCTGTTAGATTTATTCCTATGCGTCTCATCTATTTTAGATATTAAGGATTTCTTTCTTTTTGTTGTTGCACATGATCTCTAAATGATATTTTAAAAGATATCAATCTAGCAATATTACTAAATTTATTGTTAACAATTAACTCTGCAGATTCTTGGAGTTTTCCATGTAATAATAATATTACCTGATATTGATGGCAGTTTGTTTTCTTCCTTTCCAATATGCCTACTGTTTTTCTTGTGTCATTGCATTGGCTATGTTGAATATCTCAGGTAATAGTAGCTTATAGTGTCTCATTCCTGAATCTTAAAAAAAAAAACAAAAACTTTGGGGTTTAAGTACCTTGTAGATTATTAATGGATCCCATTATTATTATTATTGTTTATTTGAGAGAAAGAGAGAGAGTGCTAGTGGGGAAGGAGCAGAGAGAGAGGGAGAGAGAGAAGCCTAAGCAGGCTCAGCACTGTCAGTGCAGAGCCCGATGCAGGGGTGAATTCTGGGAACCATGATACCATGACCTGAGCCAAAATCAAGAGTTGGATGCTCAATTGACTGAGCCACTCAGGCACCCCTTATCCCTCCTTTTAATCAACAAATTAGACGTTCATACAGAAACGAGAGCATCTTTGTGGAGGTTTCTGGATTTTGCACCTTACTCCAAGAGACCCAGCAGGAATCTCACTCACCAGTTCAGATGGTAGGAGACAGACAGACCCCAAAGAAACCTTAGAACCTGATTAACAGGTGCAACTGCCCAAATCCCTCTTGTGGCTGTTTGGGCAAGAATTGGGTGAGTGCTGAACTGAGCAGACTCTCATCCACTACAGAGAGCTTGCAGAAATCTAGCCCTTCAAAAGGGAGATTCCAATACACCATTGAAGAAGAAAGGAAAAGGAGGGGTGCCTGGGTGGCTCAGTTGGTTAAGCGGTTAAGTGTCCGACTGTGGCTCAGGTCATGATCTCATAGTTCATGAGTTCGAGCCCCATGTCAGGCTCTGTGCTGACAGCTCAGACCCTGGAGCCTGCTTCAGAGTCTATGTCTCCCTCTCTCTCTGCCTCTCCTCTACTCATGCTCTGTCTCTGTCTCTCTGCCTCTCTCTTTCTCTCTCTCTCTCTCTCTCTCTCTCTCTTTATCTCAAAAATAAATAAATATTAAAATAAAAAGAAAGGAAAAAGGAAAAAATGAGTTTAGTCATGGTGAAGTGGTAGGAGAAATTTTCTGGACACTGCCCTACCTCCAAGAAGGTGCCTTTTGGGGCTGATTTATCTAGTGAAGGTGACCTGTCCCACAGGAAAAGAGGAAGATGGTGAGAGAGGACCCAGCTTCCCCAGCTGGCAAGATGCAGCTTGAGATACCCATTTCTGTCCATCAGCACCCAGTGTACTAATGTGGGAGCTTAGTGGGTAGAAGCTTAGGGAGGATTTGGGGAAAGAGGAAGATAATATTTGCAGACATTGAATCTGGTCAGCAGAAAGTCCATCTAGAAGCCTTTGGGAATGACATGCCCTACCCCATCTCCCTACCCAGTCCATGGGCCTCCCCAGCTCACTAAGTGCTAAACCCATACTTCTCCCCCACTCCACTGCCGGCTTTGTGTGTGTGTTCCCAGGTAACTCCAGGAGACAGGGAGTATGCTCAGAGAACAGGCCACACATGGTGGGCAGGGAAGTAACCATAAACTTGAAATATAACACTCCCCTCTGCAAATCAAAAAAAGAGGTTTCTAATTACCTGCCTGGCCAACTCTAAGAACCAGAGAAGACACAAGAGCTGGTTAAGAGGGTCTTGGCAATTTCAAATGCAAAAGCAAAAATGCATACCTATAAGCAACGTGAAAAATCAAGAAGTGTAGAGTCACAAAAGGAAAATAATTCTCCAGCAACTAAGCTCAAAGACATAGAGTATTAGGAGCTGATAAAGAATTTAAAGTAACCGCTCTGAAGAAATTCAGCACGTTAAGAGGAAACTCAGAAAGACAATCCGGTGAAATCAGGAGTCAGGAGTAATGTTAATAAACAAAAGGAGATCTTTACCAAGACAATTGAGATTCTAAAAAAGAACTAAAGGTAAATACTAGACCTGAATAAGTCAGGGAACGAGATGAAGAATGCAGAGGAGAAAATCTGTCACAAGGCAGACCAGGGGTAAGAAGGACACGTGGCTTGGAGGACATGAACATAGAATTAATATAGTTAGAAGAAGAGCAGGACCTGAGTTTAAGAAGAGTGAAGAAAGCCTAAAAGACCTCTCAGATTGTATCAGAAAAGCAAATATCTGAATGATCAGGCTCCAGAAGGAGAAGGGAATGTGAAGGGGACAGAGTTTATTTAAAGAAATAATAGCCAAGAACTTCCCAAACCTGGAGAATGACTTGGATGTACAAGTCCATGAAACCAATAGCACATGCTATTATCTGGGTGTAAAAAGACCTTCTCCAAGACACATTAAAAAAAATTTTTTTTAACGTTTATTCAT